ATTATTATCTTATATTATTTTAATTAGTTTTATTATGACGTCATGACACAACATGAAAAGCGCGAGAAGATCAAGTGCTCTAAGCTAAATATGAAGGGGTTTCGGTATTTCTCTTCATAAAGTCGTGGATTTTTCCCCCCAGTACTTCCCATGAACTCCTCGAATGACAGCCTCATCAATTTTCCGAGTCCGAGCAAAGACTTGTGGTGTTATTGTGACTGGTAAACGTCCTAACATCTACGCCATAGATGCTGGTCTGGTTAATAGATGGTTCTCTCCCGTTCTTCCTTTTTTTTCCAATTCGGAAATTGGGACATCTTCAATTGCAACTGTGCCATACATAGTGCTATAATAATTTGTTCCAGTTTTGCCGTGAATTATTTTGTAAGCAGTGACTTCTTGTCGCCAAAAATATTTGAAAATGAAATTTCGTACAAAATGACATTTATAGTCTCAGGAACGCGCTCATTTTTAATTCTGAGCTCAAAAGGAACATTTTTTTCAACAGCCTTGATAGCTGTGACATACTCTCCTCAAAAGTCGGAAATTTGGGACGCGATAACATCGTTGTGGTAATTGTTGCTGCTGCTGCTTTTGTTGTTTTTGCTGCTGCTGCTGCTGCTGTTGTTGTTGTTGTAGTTGTTGGGGGGCGAACAAAGACTGGTTGGAAAGGAGAGAAGAGTACGGATGAATTGAAACCCCCCTCCCCTCCCAAAAAAAAAATGAAGGATGAAATAGTGAGTAGATCTAGGCGAAAAAGGTGATGTTCTTCCATCATTCAAGACAACACTAAGTTTCCACGACGGTCCTCGGGTCATGGGCGGCCATTATTTATGTGGTGTGCGCTTGTACTTTCTGTTTGAGTGACGGGCGTCTATCACTCTTCTGTCACCAGCACCATAGAGATCGCACAGACAGCTGTCAGGATGATGGCCGACATACAACTTAGAGATCATACACACACACACACACACACATGATATCTGCATTAAGATGGTAGACACAGTACTATCGAGATCACACACACATATAAAAGCAAGATGATCGGCATACAACACAAAGATCATACACACACACACACACAC